ACTTTTCAACATCATCTATTTAAAGGTATATATATGTGCTTCTTTTGTGTTTTTTGTTTTGCGTCAGTAGCTTTTTAATAATGCTGAACACAAACAAATTCTATTCGTAATTATGATCAATTCAGTCTTTGTTGACTTATTTCTGTTATAAGTTAGTCATACCTTTCTTGTAGATGTGGCGGTACATTTGTTCCACCTCAGCGATCTCCTGAGCTGTGGGTTTTTTGGCTGCTGCAGCTATCCAAAGGCGACCTCTGTGTGATGTGTACCAGGTGCGACCTTCTACCCTACATTCAGACAAGATGCAAAATCTTTAACATTGAGTGTATTCATTTTTTTCTAATAAGGACTAAATAAAAGGATTTGCCTATTTTGAAAGATGTATATCTAGTACTCTGTCCTTGGTTACCTCTTAATGCCTTTTACCAGCAGTGAGGCCCAGGGCTGATGCATACTCAGACACCAGCCGCCGTCAGAAATCTCCTGCAGCTCTTTGTCTTGGAGTCTCAACCTGTGGCGCTCTTCTCCTCCTTTTTCTTCTGTCAAATTTTTTCTCTGCTCCATTGGTTGGTTTTGGCGATCCCTGCCTCCAGTGTCCACCCACTAGGTTTAAAAAATAGTGCCAAAATGTATTACAAATCCTTCTTATGGCTTATGAAGAATTTTTGTGTAAGAGATCCAATCATAAATTGGCTGATTTTCAGTTTTATGAGGCCTGATTGAGGCCAAGTAGAAACTTAGAAATCTCTTTTTTGCTCACTAAATTAGCCACACAAAGAGCTTTCTGAGGTGACAACTCCTCTTTTTGATGCATCACCAAGGTGCTTAAAAATCAATTTATGGGAAATGTACAGCGTCTGCTGTTATGGCATTGAAACAGTTTAGCTGTAGCTTCCCAATGGCTTTCTGATCACTTTTGTTTTTCTTCTAAGGCATTTAAAAAGCTGCAATATTCATGACTCAACAAATGTACAGCATTTCTGACACAGATTCTGAATGCATTGTACTCAAATAAATAACCAATATTTATTGCACCTCAAGTAGCTTTACACGATATGCATCTTGTCGAGGACACGGACCCAAATAACAATAGAGTGTGATACATTGTGGAATCATAATTGTCACTGCTTACCTGAACAAGTTCTGTTTCAGGTCATTTTTTTAAAAATATAAAGAAACAACATAACTGCCTTTATCTAGTTACTTTGTCCTTTTGATGTGACTTACTTGTGGCGCAGACTGCTTAATGTTTGGGTTGACCAGCTCTGTGAGGTTCTGCTTTCCACTTCTTCTTTCAGGATGTCCAGGAGTCTGTGGTGCTGACCCACTGTTCATATTTTTGAGAGCCTCATCCAGCCTAAACAACAATTCCAAAAATGTCACATGTTTCTCTTGTTTGGGTTTGCAGCCAATTTACAACACGAAAGCGCAGTCAAGTGATCTTACTTGCTGTAATACTCGTTCATGTCGTTCCCCTCATCAATGACTCGTCTGCCAGCGAAATCCAGAGTGATCTTCCTGTCCTTACGAGAGGCGTGGCGAAGTTCTCGCAAGTCTTCTTCCGCCTTCCTCATCTTCTCTCTCTCATTGGGCGACAGCCACTGATTGGACTCGGTAGCAAAGTAATCCGACTCATCATCCAGCACCTGCGTCCTCCTGACACTGCAGTTGAACAGGGCCGTGAATTAAAACAGGTAGGTTTTGACCAGGTGCCATGTATTTACACCAGTAAACATGCTCATTTCTGAGTAGCAGTGTGTTTTAAGATACCTGTTCCTGTCAAATTCCAGCAGTTTGTCTTTGTGCTGAACTGCTTTCTCTAGCCCAGCTTTCAGATTGGCTTCCTGATGTGGAAGAAGCTCCCTTTCTCCAGCATCTGGTAACAACATAAAAAAAACAAAAAAAAACTAACAATTTGCAGATGACATGACTTAGAAACTTCATATTTATTGAGCTCAGTCTGAGAAGCTTGGACTCTGACCTCCCATAAGCTTTTTTCTGAGTTTTTGACTTTTGTTGGAGTCTCGTTGTAAAATCTCCTGCTCCTCTTTAGTGCAAACCTGAAATAAAGATGCACAAAAGAAAAATAAAAAAAATTGTTAACCAAAACTAAAAGCTAGGAACGTTATTGGAGCTAAATTTGCTCACCAGGCTTCCACAGAAGAGGCAGGGTCCTGAGCCCTCCTGGTCGCACACAATTCGCCCGCAGCTGAGGCAGTTGTTGATGAGCGCGTGCTTCTGGGCGAGGCACTCGCAGGGGTGCCGACCCGGAAGCAGAACAGCCAGCTTGTCCTGACCCTCTTTCGCGTAGAGATTGACGAACTTGGTTTTCTTCTTAGTTGAATTAGTGTTGCTGTTTTCCTGGGCCTGGAAAGACATTGATCAATCAACTGATAGCTAACTGTTTATCAGTTTTCTTTATAAACTGACGCTTAAAAATAAAGTACATATGAAAACTGAGATGTGTGCTCACCCTCATCAGATCCATGGGGGTTTTCACTGGCTCTGGTTCAGGCGCTGTTTGGCTCGCAGTCACCACTTCCTGTTTGTTACGTCCTTTACGTTTGGACTTCTTCTGGGTATCTTTGGTGGAGTCTTGCATATCTGTAAAAACAATAACATAAATTTAAGAAATACATGTTAGCTTTCATAGCCTCTTTCGCTTTTTTTAAATGAAACTGCAGGTTGTCAGGGTAGACTTTTTTTTTTCAAGAAATGTGTTAACTGGATACTTATTGTCCTACCTGTTGGTGAAGCGGCCTCTTTGAGAAGGAAAAGACCGGCTGCATCCGGACTCTGTCTTTGACTCTTCTTCCATCTGTGTAGGAGTTCATCTATAAACTGGCCTTTTTTTCCATCAGTGCCCTGAAGAAGATCTCCCACGTACTCCTCGATCTCCTCAGGTTTTTCAATGGAGAGGATGTACCTGGGAGATCACAGAAATTTTTTATAGAGTTGATCATCTTCTCAAAATTTTTCATCAAAGGTTATGCTTCCTTTTTTTCCTATAAAGTTCTGGAAGATTTATGACGCAAAAGAGAAAATTTATACTGTATGTTATAATAGATAGGCAAGGCAGAAGGGTATTTTTTTCTCCATTAAACTTTGCGTTATTTTAAAAAGCATCTTGGTTGTCTTAATCTTACAACCTGATTGTCAAAACAAGTTCAGAAATGTAGCCATTTCGAAACTGCATCACAAGTTATTTTTGAAGTAGAAAAGCCTAAACGCTGATGACAACAGTACAGCTAGAGGATACAGGACTGTCATCAGCTTAGTGATGACAGTCAGAAAATATTCACAGAGATATGAGCGTTTAAAACAGATTTGAGGAGCTAACTGCTAGCTGGATGATAGCTAATGGACGTGTTAGAAAGCTGTTACATTCATGAAAAAATAAAATAAAATAAAACTTTAAATGGCTCCACAAAACGTCTACTCGCGTCATTTCCCTTTACATAAAATCTATAAAAAATAAAAAAAAAAAACATGCCATGTCAGTGGCGCACCGTCATTCAATTAGCTAGCTTCCAGCTTGTGATAGACGGTCTAAAAGGAAATATTTAACACTTACTGGACAATGTCTTCACATGCCTCCAGGCCAAATTTGTGATGTAACTGGTCCACGCACCACTGCAACAAAGCTTCAGACATTTCACCAATAACGCAGCTAGATCGAGCTAAGAAACACCGAGAAACTAAATCTAACGTTTATTTCGTGTACAAGTTTCCAGTCGGAAGGATATCAATGGCGCACATAGTGTCACTCGCAACTGAGCCGACTCAATCTGACCACTTTGTTGAAAATCAAAACCATGAAGTACTTCGGATTTCTCTCTTTTCTCTTTTTTATTCCATCACAGTAACCTCGTTTGAATCTAAAATCATATTGCCATATATACAATACATAAACTAGGATTATTACACGTCGTTTTACGATGAATAAACACTAAATAAAATAAAAATGTTCCGGTACACGAAATGTTTGACCAAATTCTAAAAGTTTTTTTCACGAATGCTTCGTAAAATGGAAGGGGAAAAACAAGTAAAAAAAATTGTACGAGGGAAAATCTTTCAGTGACTTCAATAATCAAGGGCCAAATTACTCGGATCTCGGAAGCAGTCCAAATTCCCATCAAAGCATTCCCGAGCTTTTACCGAAACCTTGTCTTCCAGTTTGTTGGGTCTCACGCGGAACATTTGGCAGTCTGAAACTTTCAACAAATGATAACCTAAGATTCTTCGATAAGGATCCACAAACTGCAGATTATTTGACATTTTTTACGGTTGTACTTGTTATGTGCAGCCACAAGATGGCAGGTTTGTTTCGCCAGCTATTTTTTTTTAGTGTCTAGGGAATATAAACATTAGATTTTGCTCTGACATAGCAGTATCCAGCACCTTTTCACACCCTGTGAAACAATTTACATTATAACCAGAAATTCTTATCAATCTGACAAATTATTATTATTATTTTTTTACCCTGCTAATTTACCCTGTTAATTGGTTGTGACCAATTGCCTTCAGACAACACCAGTTAGTGGACTGCTTGTGTGTACTTTAATCTCAGTACAATTAAATCTGTTCTGTGAAGGTCTCAGAGGCTTTTTGGACAATGATAAATAATAAACAGCATCATGGTAGACAGGCCAGGGATAAAAGAGTGCATGATCTCTCCTCTCAAAATGCAACAACTGTCTATCGAAACCGGTAACTTTTAGTGGACATCTTAACTCTGGAAGAGGATGATACTGAAATAACCTTCTGCTTTAACCTTCTGAAGGCTTTGAGGGAGCGAAATGTGTTTTGGTGTATCACTCTCAATATATCTCACGACACTGAAATCTTGTTTATGACTACAAACAGAAAAAAACAAAGCACTCTGTCTTCGTTTTCCTTTTTCAGTATGCGAAAGCTCAAATTCATGGTTTAATTTATGTGTGGAATATGGAGTGTAAATTCATGTCATTTTTAAAAACAGCACCAATGAAGGACTCCAGTTTCAAGAGAAAAAAAATCACATTTATTATTAAATTGTTCAGTGAACAAGAGCAAACACTGAAATGTAATGATAAGAACAACGTCCATCGTACTGTCGTCAACAAAGTCCTAGAATAAAATTCTGGTGAACCAACAATTAAAAATAGACTATAGCAAGGAGCTTATATAGTATATAGAAAGGCAAACAACATTGCAATTTTTTTCTTCAGTTTTGAATATTTACATGATGCAAGACACTGTAGCTTTTTTAGGTATCATGTATCCAATGTACAGTTGTGTTAAAAATGTACTCACTTTTGTGTGATTTAAAAGTGAGTAAATTTCACCATTCTTATAATAGCTATTATTTTCACACACACAAAAGAATTGCAAACACTGTTAACATTCTGATTTTAAATCAACTTATTAAGAAAAGCATTAAATTTATTCTCAGTCCATAGAAAGTAAAAGTAAGGAACATTATAACGTTCAACAAAATAGCAGAGCCTGCATTGCTATTTAATAACTGGAGTATTGCTCATTTTCATAATGTAATGTACTGAAAATGGTTGAAAATTAAGCTTTCCTGTGAATTAATGAGCTAATATTGAGCTGGATGTCTGCTGGTTTTGAAAACTGCATCACATCAGTTTTTAATGAAGAACCAACGTCTGGAACCAGTGAGCAGCTATTTCAACCTGGGATGATAGACTCTATTCCACAATCTTACATATCGTAGTTTTACCACTGAAACAGCATGTATGATGTCACCTGACATGGTGGCATTGAGTTGGTTGTTACATAACATTATGTTGATGGTTTGGGACCATGAAGCGACTGGTTTCACTGGTGTGTTTAGGGTCACTATGTTGTTGAAACACCAATCTCAAGGTCACTTCCTCTTTGGCAGAAGACAACAAAGCCTCTTCTGGCACATTTATGCATTCAGGCTGATCCATAATATGCTGTGAAGTGTGATAAATAGGCAAGACACCACAGTGAGAAACATCCCCGTAGCTTGATACCCATCCCACAATTTCTCACAATTGATCTGACAAGCTTTCCAGACTCAGATGGAACTATATTGGCTTTATCGGTTCTAAAAAAAGGTTGCCGGCATTTTTCATTAAGTCAGTCAATGTGCATTTCTGGCTAACTAAGGATGAAGTCACCAAAAGTCGTTCATGGTGGTTTTAGTCCATTAATCTTTCGAGAAGTTGATTGGAGAGGGGATATAACACAATGAAGCACTGAAAACAATAAAATTAAAAGACTGAAGGGAACGGAAAACTATTGTGCCAACGGAGCAGAGCAGACAAGGTCGCTATGATTCAGCAAAATGCTCCTCTTCATGTTGGCTAAATAAGGTCTACAGTTAACTATGACAGCTGTGATAGTCAGAAAACACCAATGAGACGCCTAGCTGCTTGTGAGAAGCTCTGACAAACCTTGGGGGAAATCCTGGGCTGAAGATGCTGACCACTTCACTGTGACAAGGACACCAATGTCCCCATGGACCTTACACTTAAGTGTTTTTGGGTGACAGTGAAGGGCTTTTACATAATATAATGTATGTAGTAATCCAAACGATTCAAACCCGAATGGCGTCACTGCACCCTCCACCCCCCACCTCCTCATCCAATCACTGACAGCTTACAGATAATCAACAGCTTGCAGGTGACGAGAGCTGCAGGTTTTCTATTACTCTTCTACACCTTCTGGTAAAATGCCCTGAAGATATCAATATTTCTGGTCTGCAATGTTGGACTATATTTGAGCAAAACTGTACATTACAATGAAAAAGTCACAAAGCCAACCAAAATTACATTATCCACAAACTACACTGACGAGAGCAATTGGATTAATAGTCAGACAGTACAAAGAAAAAGCATTTATTTTTTTAAAAGTGTGGGTTGGTGTCACATTATAACGCGATGGATTTGTTTCCTTATTTTCACCCTCAGACTGCTTTTTAATTCGACTTAATTTTGTGAAACCGTGAACATTTTATCATGATGGACTTATTTAAACAGAAGAAATTGTTGTATCCAAATTGCTGCCTTGTGAATTTATATCTCATTTCATTAGGAGCGTACCAGATTTTTATTCATAATTTTTTAAGTTTTTTTTTTACCTTAAAATTGAACTTCAATCTCCTCATGTAAAAAAGTCTTTGGAAATGGCTTCTACAAAATTGGGTGCCGACATGAGGATCCCAATGGTGCAGAGGATGGTGAAGAGAGAGAAAGCCATGAGGCAAAGCCTGTCGATGACAGACGCGGCAAACTTCCACTCGTTGCACACGGTCTCGTCCTCGTCTTGGTCGCGAAACCTTTTGGCGATGTACCGCACCTCGTCCAGGATCTTGGCCAGCTCCAGCTCCATGTATCCCATGTTGGGGCTCTGACTCGATGGTAGGAGCAGCTCGTCCTCGCCGGCTCGTCCGATCAGCCGCCCACAGAGGACCCCGGAGTCGGGAGAGGTGGCGGCCGTGGAGCAGTGGATGCTCTCCAGGCCCCGGACGCCGACGTATAGCATGTGGCCGTTGGTGGACTGGGAGACGGAGCTGCTGGCGTTGAGGTCCATGCTGGTCAGGCTGCTCCGTCGGGTCTTGTTATGGCAGGCTGAGCGCACTCTGTCTTCGCCGGGGCGCTTCATGCGCAGGAACCAGGCGCACCAGTTCAACAGGATCACACGGGTCTACCAGGTCACAGAATAATGGAGACAAACATGATTTCCTTACGTGTTGTATGCAATAGCTCTGCTGAGTCTACATAATTTGTGTTTTCATTGATGATAGTGATGACAATCTCAGCCTGAGTCATCCTCAGATAGTGCCTGGATTGTGTGCAATGATATATGCATTTTTGTCCAAAGCTGGAGTTAAAAGAGTTTATTGAAAATGTAAATGTAATCATTATAAAATAAATACCACACAGATTGTAAGCAACGATAAAAATCGCAAGACTCACCCATTTAGGCATCTTTCCTCCATCAGGATCATGGTGATGATATTGCAGGACCAAAACAGTTGCAATTACAGACAGACCAACGATGACCATGGTTGTTGCAAAGTATTCAGCTAAGGAAAGAATAAGTGAAGACCCAGAAAGTTGTGCTAAAGCATAAAATGAGACTGCTTTCTGGGGAAATTAAATATGAACAATTAAGAACCACACAACATTTTTCAGATCGCCGTGCATTAAAAATGTCAAATAAATGTTTTTGTTTCACTTTCACGTCAAAGTTGAGAGCTTCTTCGGGTGTACCGCTTACATTTTCAATTAAAAACAAAGTTTTGTGGTGGAAATGTGACAAACTGTCGAAAAGTTCAAAACTCCCTTTGCAGGTCTGGAGTTTCCTGAGTCTCACAAAAAGGGAAAGAGAAAATCTTTCTCTGTGTATTGCAGAGACATCACCTACGACTCATCTCTGAATTAAAGGAATGCTCAAATCCTGGATGGCTGCTCAAATTGGGCACACTGTGATCTCAGAGAAGCACATTTAACAAAACTCTTGAAAAAAAAAAGATGACAGGGGTTTTCACCCGGGCCTTTTCTTTGATTGTGGTTGACAACCATGGCAGCTGCTTTCAACTTCAGCCGGACTTACCTATTAAAGGCACGGAGTCTGACGTGGCAGGCATAATCTCTGCAACTAGCAGCATAAAGACCGTCAGGGAGAGCAGAACTGTAATGCCTGGGAAAGAAAAGCGAATCTCAGTGCAAATATGACAAAAAGCATTCAAACGCCGCTTGCAATGATGAAGGTGTCACAACCTTTTGAATTAGTTTTAAGAAGAATTAAGACCTTGGAGTTGAAAGCCTCATCTTGACTCCTTGTGACATTCTATTAATTGGGGCAAACACATCTCCATGTGAAAAGCAGCAAATTTCACATGGAGGTTTCAGGGTTTAAAGCTGGAGTTTTAAACACTGAGCTCGGAATAGAGAGGACTTCTCTTTTCATCAGCAGCCTTTTAACCAACTGTGGTGAGAAACTAAGAGCAGAAGGATTGAATAGTCCAGCAGTCTGACAGATTTGAGCCTTGATGCTTCTCTTAGTGCTGTTCCTAAAATCCAAACAAATTCACTTGAGGTTGACAGTTTGGATCAGATTGTTTAAAAACCTCACAAATTCTGAGTTTCAAAATGGCAATAATTGTTCAAGCCTGAGCAAAGGCAACTTTTGAATGAATTAACCAGGCTCAGATTGAGCTTTTGGAAAGATAAAACCCTCTGGGCAAATCCAAGGATATTCTGAGAAACCTGGGTTGGTGCGAACCAAGTCTAACTATCTGGAACAATAACTTCAAGAAGAATGTCAAAGGTGTCAAATACACAAGAACAAATCATTTGAGCCTGTATTCTGACCTTGTGCGCAGGAAATAAAAAATATATCATGCAAACCATTCCTCAAATCTGGAACAAACTTACAAAAAACGCCAAATTCCTTTAAATCAAGACTAAAAATCCACCTGTTTAGATTTGCTTTTTTTCTGTAATAAATGTAAAATTCACCAACATATTTGTGCATTGATGATCTTGACGATGGCACTGTAATACTGTAATATCTGTTATTAGCTTTCAGAGCTGTTGACTGTATGATGTTTTTTTTTTAACTTTTATGCTCTCACGATGTAAACCACTGCTAATGGATAACGATGATGGGACTGGTTTCTGATTCAAAATTTTTCACGTTTCTGATAAGTGAACAGCGACTGGGAGTTTTTTGCCGAATAGACTGGCGGAGTTAAGGAGCAAATGGAGCGTCTCGTCCCGGGGACGATTCATGCAAAAACCATCAGTGGCTATATGGGGTCGTTCCAATGGCTGAGCTACTGCAGCCATTACTCAGAAGTGTTCAAAATGTCCTAATTAAAATGCCATTGAGTCGGCAGTTTGATGAGTTGACAAGGAGACGTGCAGGCAGCTTTAGCATCAGAGATCCATCTTTGAGATGTGAAGCTTTCCAATGTGATCCGCATGATAGTCTATCATTAACTTCAAACGGGTGAATCTCATTTCATATTTCCTCCAGCAATCAACACATCTGAGGGAATGTATATGAGGGAGAAAAACACACACAGGTTCACACATCTGGCTCCGCGGCGCAGTTAATGATGGAAACCAGCTGCAGCGTGTTTGAGGAAGCCGCATAAATCAACGCCCTTCTCTCCCGCTGACAGTACAACAAAATCACCATTCAACCACGAAACCTGCTTTCGTTCACTCTTAATCATTTATTCATAATCCTCCGAGTTCAACTGTGACAACCGAGATGAGATTACTCTGTTTTCCCGATCAGACAACTAAGTCAGGCAGCCAGCGTTGATTATCTGCTCAGCTCACAAGGCTACAAAGGAAGTGAGTGAATAACAAAGCAGTGGTTCAGCCTGAATGGGTGATCACCCAGAAGACAAGCGGAAAGGGATATTAAGATGTTTTCGATGGAGAAAAGAAAAAGAAAAAGGACCGGCTGTGAAGTCTGAAGTGCTCTGGTCATAAATGACTTAATTATTTGAGTATTTTTAACCAAGAGGTTAGTAGCATGCACATGCCACAGTTATAATCAGCCTGGCAGGAGAGGGACTCAAACTCAAAACAAGGGAAAGGAGCAACACTGAGGTCTGGTAGGAGTAAAATGGATAATAAGACATAAAATAATAGTGATTAAAAAGACAGCAACCTTGCAGGCCTGACAGGCTTAGACAGTCCAAACATAATTATATTTATAAGATGGATGTTTCTGAACTACATGTCAGTGCACATTAAAAAGGAAAAAAGAAAAAAAGAGAGAAACTGTCAGAACTTTCAAAAAGTGCCTTATTGTCGTACTTTATTAGAAAACAACTTACCAATCGAGAAATGTTGCTTAAAAAGGCAGAGTATAGCACGCCCTCTGTTGACAGCGGTGTATATTTATGCCAAAAATATCTCTCTGAAGCATCCGATATTGCATCAGGACATCGATACATCTGGTTACAAAACCGCCAGATAGGAATCCTGTACACCCGTTAACTCTGAACACAAAGTTAACCCCAAGAACCGCAACTTCAACTTGACTTAAAGAACTGGCAGAAGCAAAACTTGCATGAACGGCTCTCTTCTGATGACCCGTCAACTACATCATTCTCTGATTGATGTTGATGAAATGTGACTCAGGACGCAGCAAAGCCAAATAAGACGCGGATTGAACCCACGTTTTATCACAGTCCTGCACTGAAACGGCACTGACCCGTAAAACCAGAACAGAACAGAGGAGGAGCATTTGTTTTGCTTTCTCAGTCACTTCATTTCAGTGTCCTGTCACTCATCTGTTGACGAAGACACGAAGATGAATACGAAACAAAATTGAAGCTTTTGTATTTTCTGCAGTTTCACACTGTCATATTAAGCAGACAAGTGGCGTTACCTTGAGTTGTGCAACGAATAAGGTTTTCGAAGTACTTTCTTCTTCTGAAAACATCTTCAATATTTAGTTTAGTGGGTTATAAAGTTGCAGGAGATTGCAAGATTTAGACAGGCTTAGGGTTTTCAGACAACTGCATAATTAATGAAAGCCAGCTAAACGCAAACTTGAAAGGCATTCGATAATTATTCTAAAAACTCAGCTCTGCACTTTCTTACAGTACGCGTTCAACATTTTAATGTTCCTCTGAAAGACGACAACCTGCAAAGGTTTCAAAATGTGCAAATCGGCACTATTTTGCTCGTATGTCCGTGCGAGTGTGTGCGGCGGTTCCCCAGACCCAGTGAGATCTTTTCCCCAGAGTCGGCCGGCAGGAGGAAGACGAGCAGGGCGAGGGTGGAGATCAGGACGCACGGGATGAGCAGGTTGAGGCCGTAGTAGAGCGTCCGTCTTCTCATCACCACCGTGAAGGTGATGTCAGGGTAGGGCTCATCGCAGCATTCGTAAAAACGCTCATTCCTACGACCTGGCACCTCTGTGAAGCAAGAAGGAAACAAGCAAAAATGATAATCTGTCAAAGCAAAACCCTGAGTAATGACAAAAAGGCCACCCTTTTACCAACAAGATCCCACTCTCCGTTGGCGATGTAGCCAGTGATGTCTGCCTCCACCATCTTCAGATCCAGGGACCAACCTCCATACGTCCAGGAACCAAACTTCAGATCGCACCTCTGCACGTCAAAGGGGAACCAGCGGACATCGATGTAGCAGGTGCTCTTGAAGATTCCTGTTTGTGGCGACGGACACAGAACACCCCTTGGTGTACATAAAACACTTTAACTTGATCTTCTCTGGCGCTAAGTTATTAACAGTTGTGAGTCAGGAAACCGACAGAGAGAAAAGGAGAGAAGAAGTGCAGTGAGGATCCCAAGGCTTCAAACCCCAGATGGCGTCGAAGACAAACAGCCTCTGGACAGAAAGCGTCCGCTCTGCCGCGTCAGAGCGTGTCGTCCCTCAACACCTTTTCCTCCTTTATCACGATGTGTAACTTTTACAATTCAACTAGCAAACGAGAAAATCTGTTTGAGGGGAAATACATTTCAAACAGAACAACATCTGCAACAACCTGGGTGTTTAAGTGGGAACGTTTGTTTTTATTTCAATGTTTATTCTTCCTTTTACATCAAGGACCCGGAATCAGTTAGGCCTAAGATAAAAAAAAATCAAGGATTCTTGCATGAGCAAGAAAATACAGGACTTTGTGATTTTTCTTTTTTTCTTGGCAGTCAAAATCACTGATTTTGTGGTGCTACTTCAGAAATATACAGATAATTTTCCTCTCTTATTTTTTTTTAAAGTTTCTTCTTCTGAACTTTTTTTTTGCATTTGACATGAGTGTGTAACCGTTTGACAGTCAGTATTTCTTCCCGCTCCCTGGCCTGACAAAACTCAATAAGGCAACTCAAAAAAAAAACAAAAAAAACAACACATGACAATGATACAACAATGCCAAACCAACAGGAGAGGCAGCAGAGAGTCTTTATTCCGGGACAACATTGAGCCACAGTTTCATCCATCCAGTGAAGAGCCAAACAATTCAAATTGACAACAGGATAAAAGAGAAGACTAATTCTTCGAGACAGCCACAGCAATTCCCATCCATATTTAAGAAAGATGAGATGCTGGCAGTAAACAAGATCTCTTCTCTCTCCCACTGCAATGAAAACGAAGGAGATGGAAAGGAGATGAAAAGGAGATGAAAAGTGATGGGTGGCAAACAAACATAACGGCTCTTATTCACTGCCATAAAACCCTCAATAGTAAAAGATAAATGTCGGGAAACTTCAGCGATTCATCTGCAGGCCGCGAGTCACATTTGCATACATTTGACTCATTTATTACAGCCACGTGGCCGTGTACAACGGATCACTACTTTGTGCCAGTTTCAAAAGAGGGTAAATTCAGAGTAAAGTTGAGAGGTAATTTGCTTTTGCCAGATCCAATCAATTCAGACTAGGTTCAGTGATGGAGCTATTTACGTTGGTATTGATTAAGATGCCGCAGCAGAGCAGGCCAAGGCTTTTTGCATTGTAAGGGATAAAGTGGGAAGAGGAGCCTGCCAAAGGGGAGCAGTAATTACTGGCTGTGTCAGTGAGGCCTAAAGTTTCAGTAAGCTCCCTTATATAAATCAGTGTTTGGTTATTATATAAATGTGTTATTTATGGTTTTAGAGAAACTTGCATCTTTAACCAGTTTACAAGTTGTTGATCGGGAAAATTTGATGCCATGTATAGGGACAATTTGTTTTTCCCTCTCTCTTGAAGCAACTCCAGTTAAGTGAAGCAGAAAACAAAACTTAATGATCAAAATTGTGTGGATCATACTACATATTTCATAGAACGCTTTAAAATGCATCCAACGATTCTGATGCAGCAGAAGTTCGCTTTGACCCAGTTTGTTCAGCAGTTTTCTGTAACTGAATCCAAACTTCTTTTTTTTTTTTACTTTTTTCTTTCAAACTAGAGCAATATTTTATTCTTCCTCCTCCAAGTCATCATCTCCCAGTTATTGTATATATTTATTCTGTCATAAGGCATGCACAATATTTTTTACAGTTGGCATTTCTTGCAGGAGATCAGCGGGTTTATTGCATGGAGTAATTCAAGATCAGATGTGGGTGATTGTTTGCTTAAAATGAAAGGCTTGTAGAGAAAAGATGTCAGACAGATTGCATCATATTTTACTTTTAACTCCACATCAATCAGCTAGAGTAATAACACTCTGATCTAGCCGGCTTATCCGAAACCAGAGAGCTCTATAGCACCTTATTTCACAATCAACTCTTAGAAGCAGAATATAATGTTTAGTTATGGGTAAGCATAGCAAACTCATTTCAGATGAATATTTTCGTAATGACACATGAAACACCAGAGTAATAATGTCAAATTTCCGCTGGTGGTTAAGGTCTGACAACGAGCTGAGGTTAAAATTCTCACCTGGAGGAAGATACGAACAAGCGCCTGAGGAGTTGACCAAAATGTTGGTATGAAATGTTGCGTCAAACCTTTCATCTGCACTGCATACAGGATACAAAAGAAACACAGAGACAAAGTCAGAAGTTTCCAGAGTTTCACCTGGAACCACAGCATGGCTTCAAACACCCTCAGTTGTTGGGAACAGATGTTAGTGTCTATACATCGCCGTGGGTTCGGGGTGCAATGCTAATTATAGCTCTGTAGCGGTTATCCTCATCCTCCCTGAAAGCATCTACATACCGCTTCCCAATGAACTCCCCCGACAATGACAGAATATTAAGCCAAAGTTAAAACAGAAAGCGGCTTGACCCCCAAAAGTCTGACTTTTGAGCACAATAAAAAATAAGGCCAGGCACTTTTTCCCCTTAGTTGAGTGCTTGTAATGTGGTTGTTCAGAACCTTTAAACATTGATTAATGGTGAACTCTGGTGCTCTTTCCATTAGGGACGTATAATAAAAGCCCTTTCTCCTATCTCCTCTAATAGAATTTTATTCATTTGTCAAAATGATTTACTGCTCCAGATCACGGATCTAGATGGTCCTGAATATATAAAAAGCTAATCTTGAATTGTAATGTTCTTGTCTTAAAAACCGCTTCCGTAATAAGCGAGTTATGACTCCGGAAAATGAATCAATTTTGTATTCTTAGTTTTTGTCTCAATGTGTTTATGAAGCTTTGCAGTAGAAAATGTTTTTTTTTTATATGTGCAAAACTGTCAACATGGAGCTTCTGAGGGCTGGAACGATCAGAGGATAAAAAGAACGATACATCAGTAAGGTAGACTGATTACAAATGTAAGCAGACCTGTCGAGTAAAAATAGATCAGTCTGTCAAGAATTTGAAAAATTCAAAGAAACACAACAAATTTGTAAACTATAACCTAATCAAAAACAGTATATTTGAGACCTTTCACAATTAACACTGCAGTGGCACAACCTCACACTGAGGAAAAACACATGAGAAAAATAATTGTTTTCAGCACAAACTCCAGCAGAACTAATAAGTATTCGTTTCACATAAATGTCACTAAAGCATTTTTATCAATCTGAATTTTACCATTCTGGTGAGTGACACTGAAAAGAGTGGTTTAAAGATTTTAATTAGCAGTCCGTGACTTCCTGTTCCAGTGCTGTGTAAATGTGAGGTGACACAAATACCAATTTCTCTTCTTGGAAATGGGAACGACAGAACAGCATGTCATTCAACTTCTTATGAAGTTCCCTTCATAAGAAGGGAAAAGGGTTAAAGGAAAATAGCTTGTAACCTAAACCTACAAAAGCTTTTTTTTTCTTTTTACTGGAATAAGTGGATCAAGGCTAGATGAGGACATATAAGGGAAGAAAAAGTATCTGAAAAGCTCTGAATGGCAGCATGAAGAGGCATTGGGATCTGTAAGTCTGCATAGCAACCTCTAGATGCCATCTAATCGTCAACTGGTTGTTTCGAAAAGCATGCCAGCAATAAGGCCTTTTCTGCCCAGTCATCGAAAGAAATAAATGCATGGAGTTTGGTGCAGTGGGGTCTTTAACTGGCACTGTTGAGTCCAAAAGGGAGCTTTCAGCAAAACTACAAAGGATGGCTATGTGGGAAAAGTACCTTGTGCCTATTGTGGTGGATCTTTTATATGGGGAGTCAATTTGGAGGTGAGAGTCTTTGCAAGAGCAGCACATTTCAATAAAAATCTGGTGGCTGAAAACAGCCTGTAAATGAATCTTTTGGAAGTTAATGAACAAAGACATGTAAAAATCAATAATCATCTGTTTAAGTGAGCTAAAAAGGATTGAGCATAAGAGTATAGTCCCAAAAGATCTAGAAAGATGATCGGAAAACAAGACGGCCAAAACTTGCATGCTCCAAATTAATTCACCCATACAGGAGATCTGTGTTCATAGTGTTAGCTGCCAGAAAGGCAGCTTCTAGCTTGTTATTTCACATTTTAATTTAATTTATTAAATGTGAAAATTGCTTCAATCTCAAAATGTTACACAGTGGCACAATGACAGATCCTGACATTCTTTTGGTCAACCTCATCAGTGAATCAGTCCCAGGATAATAAATGATGCAGCGCTAATCAACAAACTTCAATTTATGTCCAATTTGTGTTGCATCAATATTGTCTGCATGACAAAAAGAAAAAAGAAAAGACACAAGACTCAGCTCTTTCAGAAGCTTCACTAATGAATTTGTGAATGAAGATTAAGCCAAAGTTTCATGTCCAAGGTTTACTTTGGTACGCTTACTGGCTGATGCTGACTGTGTTGCCATTGTGCCTCTTTTTAGCTGGCTCAGTCAGGGAATCGCTCATTTACGGAGCTACCAGACAGGCAGTGTGGTGTTTTAAAGTCTACCTGTTGTAAAGCAGAATGTCTGGTTTCCAAATGAGATGGTCGGGAAATCTCACGTTGGTCACGCCTGGGTAGTCCAATGGGTTCCACTGGAGGTAATAGTCATTCCAGTACTGTGAAATGTAAAAGCATAACATATTCATCAGACACATGTTCCCTCACCATTCTCTATGTGCGCGGCTCCACTTTGATAAGCCTGGGATTTAAGAGAACTCTTCATAACGCGGTGACATTGTAACCCCACAGAAAGCGGCGCTTGGGGTGAATTTATACAACCAGGAGCCGGGTTTAATCTTCAGCAGAGTGTCTCTGAGAAATTATGTTTGTCATTATGTGCGCCATATGGAAAGCAGTTGAGATTTTGACATAATAACGGCGCATAATAACACCAGAAGGAGGAAAAGTGAGGGGATGAATATGATTACTTTATTCACCAGGATCGGTGCGATCTTCTCAAAGCAGCTAAATCATTTCACCCATAAATAACAACTGAAGTTCTGATTCGTTCCAAAAGGTGCCTCATGATAAATACAATGATCCCAACTATTTGAGAAATGTGATCTAACAGAACATTGCTCTATGCCACTTTTGGCTTATACGTTCAAATCGATAAGTTTAGGCAAAACCTAAAAGTCTGTAACAGGATCAGAGCGCAGCAGGATGCATGGCCCACTCGTTATTGATATTTCCTGAATAAATACCTTTTAATAAAGGGCCTTTTTGAAATCTGCCCTGTAGTCCAACTTTAATTCATTCACACCATGGTGTTCAAACAATGGCTGTCATCAGCATGAAGGAACATAAAGGTCAGTGTTTAAAGGCTGAGTAAAGCCTTTAAACCGAGTGGCTCACTGGTCTAGTTTGAAAGCTGAAACCTGAAAACAGCTTTTTCCACAGAGAAACTTAATTGCTAAAATGCAATATTTTCTAAATGCTTGCGAATGTGCTATCCGATTAAACAAAATGCAGCATCGCATTAGCTCAGAGATATTAATATTTAGGTCTGAGCTTTAAAAAAAGCCAACTGTTAATCACATTGTGTATTAATAAGCATATTATGGTAATAGATAAAGGCTAAGCATGTTTTATCTATTTATGGAAACTCTTTGATCGAGTTTGAGCTTTCGAAGTTATCTTGTGATATTGAATGCATCTTTGGGAGATTCAAGATTTTTTCTCTATCTTTCTTCAAGAATACTAAATCAGAGCCAACAAATAGTTGATCCAAAGGTTGCTGTCTGAGCTGGAGCTTCTACGTGTGTGTGTGTGTGTGTGTGTGTGTGTGTGTGTGTGTGTGTGTGTGTGTGTGGGGGTGTGTGTGTGTGGGTGTGGGGGTGTGTGTGTGTGTGTGTGTGTGTGTGTGTGTGTGTGTGGTGTGTGTGTGTGTGTGTGTGTGTGTGTGTGTGTGTGTGTGTGTGTCAGACTGCTGCTGTGATTCCAGAGAGTGATTTAAACCAGGCCAAACAGCATCGGGAGAGCTTGCTGACGATGCAGCAGAAGGGAAGTATGGTGTCACAAAACGGACAAGCCGCAATAAAGCTTCAGTGTTCATACACTTCATTTCACCACACAAGGGAGAAAGGCTTTTATTGCTCCTGTGGAAGATGGACAGAAAAGGAAAAAAAAAAGGCTGCTAAAATTTAAAAGTGAATAATGCATTTAAGCAGTATTCATATTTATGTTCTTGCGGGTGAACAAACCGCGCCTCTAAGGCTTACTGATTAAAATACACAATGAATAAAACGTCAATCTGTTGAGTAATTTTGTGCCATAAAGAGCTATAAAGCCTTAAATGAAAAAGCGGAATTGTTCATATAAAATTACCAGCAAATAATTTAACAACTGAGTAATCTGCAGCTTTCCCTCTCATCCTGTGCAAGACATGGGTGGGTTTGGATCGCATAACTATTCACATAATAATTGACATTAAGGAAAATTATGACAATTATGAAGGAAAAGTTCATAATTATTCTTAATTGATATTAAGGAAAATTATGAAAATTATGATTAAGGTACACAGTGGTACGCTTACGCAGGCCATATGTACATATCTTCTCCACGCCAAATGACTGACCTTGAGCTAGTTTGCAAAAAAGAGTGGACAAAGACTTTCATTAAAGTATTGCCTCAGGGGCAACATAGCGTAGGCATACCATAAATTTTATAAACAAAAAGAAGAAAACACAAACTGAAGTCTGTGGTTGTAATGTGACAGAATCTGTATGCATGTTGTTGAATCATAAACATACACCTTGTCTTCATTGTGACTTTTATGCATAAAAACTAACTTCTTACCAGCTGAAGCCAAATGTTGGTTGTTAGAACCTGGTTCTTCTCATCCTGTTGATAAATTAAAAGATAGTTAATTGCACATGTTGCTGTTTGCTTTAATGTTTTTTTTTATCATTTCAGAAACAATAAACAATAAGTAAGCATCCAGGCTAGCTCCGCATATCCGTAATTTTAGTATTAAAATGCTTCTAAAGGAAATCTCTGTCATATGCAAGCTGCCTGCATAGAACACTATTTTAGGAATATTCTTGTTGCAACATATCATTTACGCACCACATCCATGATCTGCATGAGGCTGAGGCCAAAGTAAACCGTGAGGCTCTGAGAGTCGTTGAAAACCGGTCTCTCCAGCGGGTTGTACCCGGTCATCAGACTACTGTACAATTTGCGCTGTGATGGACCTTGTTGAGAAACTACAGAAGAAAAGAGCAAATAGTTAATCAATACTCTATTAATCACAGATGTTGCATAAGGTCACAGGCAGTTTTTTCTTTTATAACACATATTCTGATAACTTTGTTATGCTGCTCAGGTTCAACCAAAAATGTTCTGCACACTCTAGAAAGTTCCAACACATTAAGGCTCCGATAGGTTGTTGTCGACCATGATTGACAGGCGGACCAGCCAATCACAATCCAGAGAAGTCCACAATATACTTAAGGTATTTTCCATACAGACAGTCACTGTGACTGTTAGCACAAATGGAGCAGAGTCAGTTTGATCGAGAGACTTTCTCCTGTTCAATCTGTTTGGATCTACTGAGGGATCCTGTGACGACTCCCTGTGGACACAGCTACTGTAAGAACTGTATTAAAGATCATTGGGATGAAGAGGATCAGAAAAGAATCCACAGCTGCCCTCAGTGCAGGGAGACATTCATACCAAGCATGGTGTTCTGATTTGAAGAAGAACACCATGCTAGCAGCTTTAGTGGAGCAGCATAGCAGTGCTCCTGCTGACCACTGCTATGCTGGACCTGAAGATGTGGCCTATGATTCCTGCACTGGAAGAAAACTGAAAGCCATCAAGACCCGTTTGGTCTGTCGGGCCTCTTTCTGTGACAATGAGGAATAAGAATTGCACTCCCAAAAACTGGACTTATCAGAATTCTTTTGTCTTACGACAATATATAAATGTTTAAAAGCAACGCAATGACCTGCAGATTTTAAACTCTCCTCAAAATGAGTGACACATCTTCTGTTACTCATTTTCGTATTAAATTCAGCAAGGATGAAAAGAGTAAGCAACCACTGCACATCAAAAGAGTAAACATTTAATTTAATCAGCTGTAATGTTAGTGTTGCTTTCATAACAGCTTTCTGCAGCATTTCTTCCCTTTCTGATTTATAACATTGCTTTTGGCATGATTATGTACAGCCTCAGATGTTTTGATTCACTTTGCAGTCACACAAATTGACATTTCAATGATTACCTTAATGGGAAAGTAGATTATTTCTAGTAAGGGGAGAATGATTGAATGCAGTGTTGAACATTGCATAGAACTTGAGAAAAGCCAGAGTAAACAGGTTACAACAAAGGCTCACCTTAGGCATAGATGTACATACTTGTCTAAAACATCTATGCAAACATGATCCTTGTTTACACCAAAGAATCCAAATATGCTTAAAGACAAGCATAAAGACACAAACGAGTCACACTGTTGCAGAAGGTCAACAGCACAAACTAAGTTATGTGATTCAGACTGAGCTGTTCACCCATGTTCAATCAATTTCTTTAGATCTAGAGCAAAAGCTGTCTATCAGAGATAAGAGGAAATTCTTTAGCTGCAGAAAACCTTCTCAAAGGATTAAACCTCAAACTTCATAAAGAGCAGAAGTCCCCTCTACTCTGATAACTGAATAGAAATTCAGTGGTTCACAGCTGATCTGGGAAGTGCTCTGAGGTTTTTTGAGGAGCATTAGCCTACAGACAACATCATGGAGACCAAAGAAGAATCCAGACATGGCAGAGGCAAAGTTGTGAAAAATAATTTCAGCAGAGACAGGAAAGAAGATGAAGCTAAATTTAGGAAAACACTGGATGAAAACCTGTTGAGACCACAGAATATGTAAGATTTCGAAAGTAAGAACTACAGTCAGTCTCGTGGTTTAGATCAAAACATCCATGGTTTTAAATGGTCTAGTCAAAGACCACTTAACACAAAACTGTAAAACTGATGTTTATAAGTCCTACATCCCTTGTGGTTGACCTTGAATTAAAAAAAAAAAATGCAGAAATTTCTGTCTCTAGATAGACAAAGTATGAAGACACAGACCCCAAAAGGGTAGAGCTTTGATTCCAGTATATAGTGCTTTGAATATAAGGTTTAGTCAGGTATGCTGCTCTCTTCAGATTTAGATTTATAAAAGAAAAAAAAAGTGGAAATTGTTGATTATTCTTCAGTTTCAGTTACCCACTTTGTGCTGTTCTGTTAAGTAAAATCTCAATAAAAACACACATTAAGAAAAAGAAAAAAAGCACCAAAAAAAGCACCAAACTCAATTTCTGGTCATTATTTTTGATCAAACCTATGGCTAAATCTTGTTGGATCTGCAAGTTTGGTTAAAGTAGAAAAGAGAAGAGAATTTCAGGATTGTATTTGACTCAGAGGTTACCGATATACAGCTCAACTCTATAATTTGGGCTGTAAAGTTTCAGCGTGTGGCAAATTCAAAATGCAAAGGTCCGTCAATGTCACTGTCGTCACATCCAAGGTGCTGAAACACACCCGACCGAGGCAAACCAATCCACCTCCGAAACCTGGATGAGATTCATCTTGCAGTGAAAACCCAAATAAGACCTGTCTCTCATTTTAACACACTCTCGTTTCCTGTCCTGAGTTATGGAGTGTTTCTGGCACCGTCCTTTCACTTCACTAATGGGCACAGCCCAATTATCCCAAACCACCTATGAGAAGTGCATTATCCTGATGATTTGGCTGAGAGTGCGCTCTCAGTAGGCGTCTCTCCTGTCTCCCCTTTTATCCACTTCTTTCTTTATAAAAGATTCGCTGAAAGCTTGCGGGGGACAAAGGCCCTGTTGATGGTTCCTCCTCTCTGATCCCACCATAGTCAAGTTTCAGCCTGAGAATCAACAAGGGGTCGTCAGCGCGGGTTGTTGTGGTAGTACAATGTGGAAACATTCACAACACAGCGGACGTTCCTAATTTACTATTACAAGATCTGTTGATACGTTGCTGGAAATCAGCCCGAACTTTTAGAAGGACAAAAGCTTATAATCAAATTCACCCAGCACAGCAGAACGAAAGGCAAGGACTTTACTTAACCAAGACGTGCTCGGGCATTTATGTGTGCAGCAATGTGCATGCACTCGTTTCTTTCCATCTGCCTACCATTCAAGTCTGCTTGAACAAGAGCCGGTAAAGTGTAAAATTGAAGAGCAACAATGGGTGATTGATTGCCTTTTAGTGAATTACTATTCAAAATTCAAAACAAGTCAGTTTAAGAGCTTGGGCAATTTCAATATGTCCTTCTAGACTGTGCTAGACAGACGTTGCAACAAACGAGACGATGGAGGTTTTTATTCTAAAACTTTCAATCCCATAATGAAGGTTTGTTTGTTGTTGTTGTTTGTTTTTTCTAAGCTGGAGCTTTTCAGCCATCTCTGCTTGCATCTGCATTTAAGTCACCCGGAACAGCTGACATCTTCAGACTTAGTGACTCATTGGTGTAGTCCTCTGCAGGCAGGCCCCTCTTTAAATCAGTCACACAGAGAGCGCATCAGCAGAAGTTGCAACAAGTTCAGTGCTGACAGACTGAAACTTACACCCACAACAAGCAGGAGTGCCTTCAGAAGGTCATTAGAAAGGGGAAGGCCTAATGGGGTTGGCACAAAAAAAAAAAAAAAAAGTGGCATCTTTCCTGGCTGCATCACAGTCTCATCAATTCACAAAAATAAAGCCAGGCTGGTGGCAAATTAACTTGTAGCGCCATTAATACTGTAGATGTTCTGCAATGAGGTCAATTAAGAAAAATGAAAAAAATACAACACCTCAACCACAGGAAAGCAGGACTATGATGATTTTTTGGGGATGAAAATATGATGTTGAATTTGTAAACATTCTTAGTTGAAACATTTAGTTTTTTTTTCTTGCAAATGCACATTTCCCCCGTTCTTCCATTCTTTATTTGACTTAAATCCAGCAGGTCCAAAAAAAAGAAAAGGATGAGATAACTAATTTCCTTATGTATTTAAATGTTTTGAAATTCAGATTTAATTCTTAAGATAAAAATAAGACACACTGGTTATGTTCAATCAGGAAATCAACCAGCAACATTTTACTCCCAAGAAAAGCAGAAATCCTGGAGGGGGAAAAAAAACCCCGATCATCTGCTTTTAAATACATTTGTTCTCCATCTTCATCTCTGCCTCCGGAAGTTGTTAACTGATTAACGAGAGTGCCTACCTTTCACGGTGCAGACGGAGATCCCCACGAAAAGCACAAAATTCAGCAGATCCATGTTGAACGGATCAGCTTCCCCCCCGCAGATGATCGCTGGAGCTGCGGGAAGATGCGGGAATGATGATGATGCTGAAGGTGGCGCGTGAAGGGGGAGAGGGGGGCCAAACCCCTCCTCATGAACTAAACGCGGCCGGGCAGTTTTTTGGATGAGCTCGATTCTCCTTCTAGAGTTCGCCTCGCCTCTCATCAATCTCCTGAGGACGTTTGGGAAGTTATTTCATCATCGATGGATTCACCGATCAAAGCACCTATTGCATTACAAGTCCTGTGGTCCAGTCCTCGTATAATTAATTCTCTTTCTGTACTTCTTAAAAAAAAAAAAAGCAATTGCACAATAGTAAGAACAATATTAATGAACAAATACGTTTAACACAACCCAACACTTTTTCTTTTGAAGCGGACGGAATGTTGTGCTGAAGGTATCAGGGTTGCAGCGCATCACAGTCCTGCATCAGTGGAGCAAGGAGACATCTGCTGGACACTGAGAGTATTACAGGCTGATCCTACAGATGCAACTGTAGTCCGAGACAATCCACAAGTCTGCCCTTCGATCCATTTGAAACGTTTTTGATCAAGTGCAAACATACAGATTTTTCTGTGCATGTTTATGTGTTACGTTGGTCGAGCATTTTCTGCTTTACCTGCAGAAAATATCCACTTTGGTGACTTAGAAAAATGGAAGACAAAGCACATCGCCCCACTCCGCTCTATGCCGTAGACAACAGATGGATTAATTCTTTCTTTACCCAACTTCATCATCGTTTCTTTAATTCAAGTTATGCTTAGCTGGACTTAATGCTCACCAGCCACTTTGTGAGGTACACTTTTGCTTCACCGTTATTTCAGACATGGGAAAACATTCAACAAGGTTCCGAAAACCTTTTCTCAAATATTGCAGTCCATGTGTGCGGTTACTGCATCATGCAGTTG